GAGGTTTCTTCCGTTAAAGGGAGTTTTTCCTCCCCACTGTCGCCAAGTGCTTGCTCAAGGGGGATTTGTTGGGTTTCCCCTATGTAATAATATTGATAACAGTAAGGTCTAGACCTTACGTTGTAAAGTGTTCTGAGATGACTTTTGTTGTGATTTGGCGCTATACAAATAAAATTTGATTGGATTTGATTTGATTAAACCATTTGGTTCTGAGTGAGTTTTAGGTGCTATTGAAAAACATTTTAGTGCTGCTGCAGAGTGAACATGGGTGTCAGTAGAGATAACTGAACGTTAACCCACTGGTCCTACTTGATAACCAGGTTTTCATAGTTATGGGCCAGGGGATTGGGAGTGGCTAGAATTAAAGCCCACCTTTAGGGCTCCAAGATGCAGAAACTCTGAGTTCTCTGGATTCCAGTTACAGAATCACAATGGTGCAGTAGAAGACAGAAGTTGCATTTAAAAATTTGTAGGTTTACTAGTAGACTAAGGTGGTTATAGGCTGCTTAAATATGATAAACTATCATAGAATGTTGTAATAATTTGCTGTGAATTTTTTGGTACTGGATGGGAAACATACATCATGTCACTTTTGCTGTTATGTATTTGCTCACCTCTTGTTGGCGGTGCTTTGCTAAAATGTGAATTTCATTGTAGTGTTAGAGGAAAGGTCAAGGGGTCAGCATCATTACTGTCTGAGAACCAAGACTGTCTGGATAAACGTTTGTGCCAGTTCATTCAGTAAACGTTAGGCTGTTTCTGAAAATATGTGAAACTTTCGGTGGTTCTAGGTAAAAAGGTAAGAACCACCAAAGTCAGTAGGATTCATCCTCTGGGACCCATAAATGTCTGTGCAAATGATCAGCAATAGTAACGATTCCGTGATTGTTAGGATACTTCAGTCTGCACCAAAGGGATATACAGTATAAGAAATATAGGATGACTGTGCTTTTCTGGAATTTACTTTTGAACAAGTGGGTGTCTGGAATAAAATATACAGTATTTGCTGGTGAAATGTAATGTGACTATAAAGCAGCATCAAATGGAAATGCTCAAGTACCTCAAGACTGTGCCTTAACTCTTTCTTCACTTACATTCAACCACCGTTGAATGTTAACTATCTAAAGGTATTTGCTAGTACAACCCAAATCAGAAAAAGTTGGGACGGTAGGTAAAATCAAGATTAAAATTGAGAATAGTAATTTGTAATTCATCTGTGTCCTGTATTACATTGAAAACAATACAGCGGCACATTATTTGATGTGATTTGTCATCAGTTTTATTCTTTGTTCAAAATAAATACTCACTTGAATTCTAAAGCCTGCAGCACATTCCAAAGAAGGTTGGGATAGTTGCATTTCAGGGCCAGTAATGAGGTAAAACAATGAAATGAGGATTCCATTTGAAACAGAAGATGTCAAAAGGTGACTGCAATCATGATTTGGGTCAAGGCCAGCCTTCTAGGAACCGAGGACAGCCAGTTTGTCAACATATGCCTGAGAAAATCACTCAACTGTTTAAAAACAATGTTCCTCGAAGAAAGATAGGAAGGGATTTGGAAATGTTACCCTCTACAGTGCAGGACATAATTAAAAGATTCAAGGAATCTGGAGGGATTTCAGTGCGTAAAGGGAACAGTGCCAAGCTCGATTACCGCGCTCTCCGATCCCTCAGACGGCACCGCCTCGCTCTTTTATAAGCGATATAACCACATGGGTTCAGGATTACTGTGGAAACTGGACTGTGCTCAGCCAAATCACTCTTTCAGGTCTTTTTTTTTTTTTTTGAAGGAATTGACGTTGCGTGCTCCGGACCATAGACTGTTTCCAGCAACAAGTCCAAAAGCCAGGGTCTGTCATAGTTTGGGATTGCGTCACTAAAACTAATTTACACTTCTGTTACTGCGCCATTAATGCTGAACAATGCAGAGAGATTTTAGAGCAACACGACGACACCTTTTCCAGAGACGTCCGTGCAAACAAGACAACGCAAAACCTCATCGTGCACACATTACCAAGGTCTGGCTGTGGAGGAAAAGGGAGTGAGTGCCGGTCTGACCTACCTGCAGTCCCGATCTGTGCCAGTAGAGAATCGTAAATGGTCTTATACTTGTATAGCGCCTTTCTATGCTTTTACAGCACACTCAAAGCGCTTTCACATTATTCGCACTCCCAAACATTCACACACCGGTGACATCAGCACGAGCAACTGGGGGTTCAGTGTCTTGCTCAAGGACACCTCGACATGTTGACTGGACAAGCCGGGAATCGAACCGCTAATCCTCCGGTTAGGAAACGACCCGCTCTACTTCCTGAGCCACAGCCGCCGTGTGGCATAGTTTGAAACGCAAATTGCGTCAACCACGAACCAGGACTGTTGCGTACCTTATAACTCGTTTGCAGGAAAAATTGGACACAATTACACCCTACACACCTAATCGCGTGTCCCCAGTCACTAAAAGTATTTAAAGTGGAACGGCAACATCACACTGTGGTAAATGCTTTACTGCCTAACTTTTTGGAATGTGTTACAGGCGTCAGAATTGAAATCATTTTATTTTAGCTTGACATACCGTTTCAGCATTTTCTGATTCGGGGTTGTATTTGCTGTCCAGAAATAGATGTTTGCTGTAAGACAGCCAGGTTAATGTTGGCACAACAGTAGCTAGAGAACAAGTACAGTTCACGGTCAAAGGCTGATTTTGGCTCCAGGTATATAGAGTAGACTGAAGCTATTAACTGGCTAGTAACTGTGACAGATTTTAGTAAAATGACTGATGGCAGATCACTGGCTAGTAACTGTGACAGATTTTAGCAAAATGACTTACCTGTCTGTGGTGTGTCTGGTCAGCTGTCAGTGTGAATGGATGTAAGTCATGGAGAAAAGCAGGAAGGACTTTTACACACAAAAATAAAGATTCAGTTAAAGTTGGGCAGTTGAGACCTATTTACCTTTTGAATGTACAGTTGAAGGTAAAATTTTAATTAGTGTAGTGGCACAGAAGTTGTTGAGCTAGGCCTACCTACAAATGAATAATAACATGCAATGATAGTACACAAAACCAGAATGCCAGGTTTTTCTGGAATCGCAAGAGTTACTAGCTTATAAATATTTGATATTTGAGGCACCATACAGGGAGTTTACCCTGTCCTGCTAACAACTGCAACAGAAAATACAAACAAGCTTGTAAATCACAGGTAAACAGTTAAAGAATAACTAAGAATAATAAAAATGAACTGTGATTAAACCAACATAGAGCCACCACTCACTGCATAAACAATTTCCCGTATCGGTAGAAAAAACATATTACATTGTGCACCCAGCAATTAATTACACCCCATACTAGGGTGCGGCCGCCTTTACAGGCTGGAGCTCGTAAGGGGTTATAGCCAGGACTGGTCTATCACAGGGATGGCACTTAGACAACCACACACACACACAATTTAGAGTCACTAATTTGCATTCCTTAGGACTGTGGGAAGAACCTGGAGTACCCGGAGAGAACAAACGTAGGCACAGGGAGAACATGCAAACTCCACGCAGAAAGGCCCAGGCTTGAACCCAGAATAATCTTGCTGTGAGATAACAGCGCTAACCACCCCTCCACTGTGCCACCCCATAATTTGATCCCTGCATGACAAATCTATTCAAGATGGCACTCCCCTGCGTGCGACATTGCAGATCTCTCCAGGTTAAGTTATTTCTCTTTTGTCTCTTGCTTGCTTACAGAAGCTTGGTGAACTACATTCTTGTTTATGGAGAGGAGAATGACCTCAGCCTCAATAAAAACAAGACAAAAGAAATAATAATAGACTTCAGGAAGAACCCCTCCCCTCTGCTGCCTCTGACTATCAAAGGAACTGAGGTGGAGAGGGCTGACAGCCGCAAGTTCCTGCAGGTGACATCTAACCTGAGCTGGTCACTGAACACAGCTGCCACAGTAAAGAAAGCCCAGCAGCGGCTATACTTCATCAGGCAGCTCAGGAAAGCTGGTCTGAACCTTGGCCCCCTCACCCAGGCTTATAGAGGACTGGTAGAGAGCATCCTTACTACTGGCATCACAGTCTGGTATGGTAACACCACACAGAGAGGAAGGCTCTTCAAAGGGTCATAAAGACTGCAGAGGGAACCATTGGGACTGAACTGCCTGCTATGGACACACTGTACACACAGTGCTGTTGCAAAACAGCAGAGAACATAATCAGAGACCCACGCCACCCAGCTCACTACCTGCTCAGACAAAAACTGTACCTACAGCCTCAGGCACAGCAGAGCAGACAGAACAAGACTCTACAACAGCTTTTTCCCTGGCGCAGTAAGACTGATGGCAAATAAAAAATGTGAAAAACCTGTGCAATAACCCCTCATTACCCTACTAAGTAGAATATCATGTACAATATCTGAAACTCCCAATTTTACCTGCTATCTTATTCCTGTATCCACAATTTTATCATCTATTTTGTATTATGTTTAGACTAGGTGTTCATTCTTTTGGCTTTAAACTCTTTACTTGACTTCAGGAGAGCCCTGCACAAGAATTCCTATATACCTAGACTGTCTGTTTATGCATAAATGGCAAATAAAAGTCTTGAATCTTGAAATGTGATGCCTTGTATTGATACATAAGTCTATTTGTATTAGTAACTAAAACTAAAATAAAATAAATTAAAAGAAAAGGGACCAGCAGCTTTGACAACAGAAAAGTAAAGTTTGATTTTTGGGGGGAGTTTGGACACAGATGACTGGAAAAGGGTTGAGATTTTAGGTAAAAGGGAGTTAATCAGAGAGATTAAAGATGTGCTTGAAGTAAGTTGTAGTTTTAGGTGATAATTCTCTCTGTTCATCAAGCACATGAACAACGAACCACTCCTTACGGATCGTCACACTGTCATTTCATACGTAGTGATCATAAAACATTGGCAGCACTCACCACCTTGTGCTGCAAGGATCCAATAACACCACTTAGGCTTGGTAGCAGCTGTGTAAGTTTGTACACACGAAGCAGCAGTTAAGGGAAGCTAACGCCTGTGCACATGCGCACTGGCACGCTATACAACTGCAATAAGCAAACATGGCGGCGGCCGTCGACAGTTCTGTGAAAGTGTAAGTTTATCTTTATTTATTGTTACAATACAACTACCAGCTATACAGGTCTGAATGTATAACGTTAGTCCATTAATTATCGAGTTATTGTAGGGTGCAGAAAAATGTAAACATCGCATCCTCTGCCTTAAATACAATAATTGTCCCAAGAGAATAACGTTATTCACTGTGCTAGTTAGCTTGTTAGCAAATATGAATGAGGCGAACCCATTGTGGAGCTGTGTTTTACTCACTGCTCACCACTAACTCAAATATTTATGGGTGTGTTTAAGGTGGTGTTACACAATATCACTTCATTGTTGCTACTCAGCCGCCTGCAGATGGAGAGTTCATTTTTCAGTAAGCTGTCAGCTTGGCGGGCGCTTTGTTGTGATGAGAGGCTTGCTAACAATCACCCTTTTGTTCTGACATCCCTCCGTCGGTACTGTTAGGGCTTCCCAAATAAGACTTGGTTGTGTGTGTCCTGCTAAAAAAAGGAAGAGATTGTACAGAGAGAGCAACAGTCTGAACAGTATCATTCAACAATGCGACAATTTGATTCGGTAGTAAAGCCAACAATAGAGAATGTGAGGAAGGGCACTTAATTGTGTACCACTGTAATTTTTCACCATCGTCAACGCTGCGCTGAAGATGGCTGCCATATTATGATGATTTATGTATGATAAAAGAAATCACAAATAAGAAATGTGAACACAGTGAATGAAACTGTGCAGTATCGAGCAGAGTAGCAGTAGGTTGTCCAGTAGAGCCATTTGCGGTGATTACACTGCTCCTTTGTGGTGCAGTTCTACAAAAGCCAACTTGTGTTATCACATTATTAAGTACCGGTAGTTTTGATTACTGTGCCAGCCACGCAATCATTCAAGAAAGTGTTTTATTGTGATTGTGCCAATTTTCTTGTGGTTTGCACAAACATGCTGATTGACCAGGTGAGATATTCATCTGTTGCAAATACATTGGTATCTACCGATATGCTGGCAGATAAATAACAAGAAATTGGTATTGAAACGTGTTTTTTAGGTAAAACAACAAACAAACAAACAAACAAACAAAAAAACATTTTTTGACCAAAGAGCACTTAAGAATTTAGCCTGTAAAATATAAAACGTTCCTCTTAGTACACACTTTGGTCACATGTCTTTAAGAAAAAAAACAACCACAAAAAACAACAACCTGAAGCATTTGAAATGTGGCATGGAGACCATGGAAGTGGCTAGTAATTTGTCAAACTACTATTTACAAGTTTAAGAACTAATGCATT